CTGTCGACGTGACCGCGACCCTCCACGCACATGTGATGCTGCCTTTATGCACAGCGACTCTATGAACATGTCCACCCCCTGCCTCTGCCACCACCATGGAGTCTGCACATCTCATCCATGCCCACGACCACGCCCGCACCGCCGCGACCGCCACCAGCACCAACAGCGTCGCAACCGCGGGGCAGGAGCATGACCTCGCCGCGACCGCCTTCCGCCAGGCCACCCAAGATACCCACGATGCTGAGGTATGTAGTCTAACACGGGCTAGCCCACCCGTCTAAAGCGTTGCAGGCCCTCCGCATCCTCAGTCTCCTCGAAGACCACCACCGCAAGCTCGCCGGCCTGATCAAAGAGGCGCCGCGCAAGGACAAGAAGAAGACGGACGCTGCCAAACAGCCTTCAGACTTGTCCGCCGCCTCTACCTCGCCAAACACGTCGTCGTCGCGAGCCTCTGCAGCCAACACATCTTCTCCGACACCCCCGACGTCCCGCCGCAGACTGCCCCAGTCCTCGATAGCCACCAACCTCGCCGAGAAGCGCGGCATCCCCAGCGCGAAGAGAACCACCAGTGGCGCGTCAGCAAACATACCCAGCGCCACAGCCGGCTGGACCGAGCAGCCTTCCACGCCTGTGCGCGATCTACTGGCGCAGCAGTCGCGCAAAGCAGAGTCGAGTGCCACCAGAGACTCAGCGAAGCAGCTGCAAGGCGCCTCTCCACAACCTGCGTCTCCGCCTGCAGAGGACAACTTCAGTCGCTTCTACTCGGCTTTTGGGGGCGTCATATCCGCCATCAGCGCTCCTCTAGCCTTCACCTCCCTTCCCCTCAACCCCTCCGCTCCTACGCCTGTGTCGGAGACGCCTAGGGAAGAGAAATCCTCCAAGACCAAGTCCCGAACGCACTCTCCGGAAGCGTCCAGAACCGTCAAATCCTCAGTACCAGATCTCGCTGCCTTGATCAGCAAGCCGGCACTCCGCGCCCTGAGAGAGGATGGCGCACCCGGGCCCAACGAAAGCTTCTACCTGGTGCCAACATCGAGCGGAGCAGTCACCTACGCCAGCATCCTTCGCGATCCGAATGCGCCAAATGCACCAAACACACAGCTGAATGCCATCGATGAAGGATCGGGCTCGCTGAGAGGCAGTTCACACGAAGAGTTTGTCGACGCGAGAGAGAACGTAGGCCCGCCGTCACCCACCAAAGCACGCCGCCCCCCTTCTCGCGGCAACTCCAGCACATCCGTAACGCCCCAGCGCTCCATACCAGCCGGCCGAGGCTCAGGCCTCAAGACCATGGAGGAGCTAGCCCTGGAAAACGACACGCTGAAATCAGTCATCGACAAACAAGCCAAGCGCATCCAGATGTGGGAACTCAACTCCCAGAACTCCTTCAACGCCCTCGCACAGTCCTTCCGTGCTCGAGGACCCGGACGTGGCTCCAGCGATCCCAATGCACTCGCCCACGCCCTCGCTTCTCAGGGCATCAACACCCTTCCTGCTCTCCCTTCCCCTCCCATACCAGGCCACCCCCAACAACAACCTAGTTCCCCCGGCCAGCCTCCGACATCCGCCCCCGACGCCGACGCTGCGAAACGCATTGCCGAACTCGAAGCCAGGGTCGCCTCACAAGACGCAAAGTACAATGATTTGTTGAGTGCCAATGAGAAGCTGGCCAAGCAAAACGAAAGGGACAAGCAGGTGTTGAGCAGATATAGAGAACAATGGGAGAAACTAAAGGCGGGCGCGAGGAAGAAGGAGCTGGAAAGACGGGAGAGGAAGGTTCCGGAGGGCAAAATCGAAGAGTCGATGAAAGAAAGTGTGGCTACTGAGACACAAGGGGAGGGAGAAGCGGAAGAGGAGTTGGAGGAGGAGCCTGGGTTTGGAAAGGCTTGAAATCGCGCTCTTGATGTGGTCAAGATGAGAAAGTACATATCAATATACCCCAAGCTAGTACAGCTAGCCGAGATAGAATACAGACACAGACACAGACATCACTTTCATAGACCAATCGCGTTCGCACAGTGTACATTTCCATGAAAATTGCATTACTATAGAAATACCTAAGGCCTGGTCAAGATCCGCCTTTCGACCCGACATATCTTCCTTGTCAATTTATCCCTTTGTTCCCATAACGCCGCTATAGCCATTCCCCCAAGATCCCTAAAACGCAACCAACACATTGCCATCAGACATGGAACCGACCCAGTCTAAGCAGCGGAAGCAACGGGCTTCTGCATAATAGGCTGGTAGGAAGGAGCGACGGGCCCGCCCACCGTAATGTCCTGGTTTTCCATACCCGCTGCGTGACCCTCAAAGTCTGGCGCATCAGGGTGGCAACCAACGCGCTCCTTGCTCAGCAAGTCTACAAGAAGAGCGCTGGGCTTGTTGCTCTTGTCAGAGAACTGGTTGTTCTTGTACTGTGCCACGTTCTCCATGTACTTGTCGAAGAGGTAGGCAGAGTCAAGAGGGCCGCCCTTGGCTTCGGGGTGGAACTGGGCACTGAAGATGGGACGCGAGTTGTGGATCAGACCCTCGTTGGACTGGTCGTTGAGGTTGGTGAAGTACTCCCTCCATTCGCTGGACAGGGTGGTTGGGTCGACCGCGTATCCGTGGTTCTGCGAAGTGATGTGGCACTTGCCGGTGGTGAGGTCGAGAGCCGGGATGTTGTGAGCACGGTTACCGTACTTGAGCTTGATGGTCTTTGCACCGGCAGCAAGGGCGATGAGCTGGTGACCCATGCAGATGCCCATGACGGGGATCTGGGAGGTCTCGAACAGTTTGCGCAGGTTGTGGACGGTGGTGGTGCAGTGAGTTGGGTCACCAGGGCCGTTGGAGATGAAGACACCGTCGAAGTGGTGGGCGACCTTGTGGATGGGGTAGTCGAAGGGGAAGCAGGTAACGCTAGCACCGCGAGAGACGAGACTGCGGAGGATGTTCTCCTTGACACCACAGTCGATCAGAGCTACGTGCATGTCGCCCAGGGAAGAGCTGACGTGGAAGGGAGCCTTAGTCGATACACGACGCACGAGGTTGATAGCCTCAGGGTCGATGTATGCCTCATCCTCATCAGCATCGTACTCCTCACCGATCGAGATGCGAGCAAGAGAAGAACCCTGCTCACGGAGGTATGTTACAACCTCACGAGTGTCAACGCCGGAGATGGCGGGGACACCCTCTCGAGCACACCATTGTGCGAGTGACTCTACAGCAGTCCAGTGGCTGTGCTTTAGAGCATAGTCTTGGACGACAATGCCAGAGGCTTGGATGTGTGGTGATTCGAAGTATCGGAGCAAGCCGTGCTCGTCGCGGGCGTTGGAGGGGACGCCGTAGTTGCCGATCAGCGGTTGTGTGAAGACGAGGATCTGGCCACGGTAGGAGGGGTCGGTCATGGACTCGGGGTAGCCGACGAGAGAGGTCGTGAAGACGGCTTCACCGGAAATGTTCGTCTTGGCTCCGAAAGACTTGCCTTCGAAGATGGGGCCGTTCTAGTCAGCTGTTAGCGATGTGCCGAGATCTGCAGTATGACTCAACGCACCTTGATGGTGAAGGTCGCGGGCTCGTTGGAGACAGCTGTAGCCCTGCGCATGCTGGGAGTAGGAATGGCACGTTGTGTGTTTCCTTCCACAGTAGCGAGGCAGCGTGCCTGTACACGGTTCTGTGTCATTCGTCCCAGGAACCCTGCGGACCGCATGGTGGAAGGCTTGATCATTTGCGACAACATGATGAGCGGAGATGTGAGGAGATGTAGTGATTCGTTTGGTGGCAGCTTGGGTAGGCGTTCAGTTTACTGAGGCCTTCCACAGGTGGTCTGCGGATAGAGTCAGTCTGACGCTCACGACGCGTCTAGCTACGGGCGACATCGTACCTGACAGGTAATCCTAAGGTGTTCAATTAGCCACAGTCATGATAGAAGAATCGAAGAAAAAAATCAAGAGACGAATGCATCGATCGTCAAGCCACCAAGAGGCAGAAAGGCCGGCGGTGAATTGACGGTGTGCGATGCAGGTCCCGATAAGGGCTCATCAACCATCGCAGTAGTGACATACCTGGGAAGTGAAGACTGTCGGGGCAGCTTTCATAAGCGCGGTAGTAAAGCCAGTCGAGGTCCAAAGGGGCTGCCTATCTGAGGCGAAGCTTGACGTGCTAGCTTTGAAGGTGTTGAGTTTGCGTGAGGTGAGGATGGAGAGTAATCGGAGGGGCTTTTCTGCCCCAGCACCAAAATCACGCTAAGGCGCAATGACACGCACCTGCGCCAATGACAACCTTTACAATATACTTTCGGTCACGATAACGATAGGTCGCAAAGTTTCTTCAACACAGGATCCATATACTATGACAAACGTCCGGGGAAACTGGAAGATGAATGCCGGCCCCGCTATCAGGTCTCTTTGAGCCTTACCTGGCTGCCGCGTAGCGTACGCTGTCCCCTAGTACTGTCGCGAGAGTCTGGTAAAGGTTGTGTCTTACCGTCCAAAATTGAGGCTACAAAAATACCCACATCAATCTATGTATCGGGGCAAGTAACATCCAGGCTCTAGAATCGCTGTACGAGATGTGTTTGTAGCCGTCTAGCTATTGCGCCTTCGAGTTTGACTACCACGTGGCGTAGGGTATGACGAGCATTTTTCACCTAATGTGGCGTCTTATCTTGTCGATCGCAGCCTGAAAGTGTTCTCCGGAGAGGATTTTATGGTCTCCGCACGCAAATGAGGAGTGACTGTCACAGTTTTGCTTTGTCCCGATATCGGCATCATGACGATCGAAAGCTTCATAATTTGCCGAATGTGTCTCCGCACATCCGCTGAATCCGCATGTCAGCCCCTGAAGAACACACAACTCGGATTCCCTGAGAGTTCCATGTGCTGAACCCAAAGGGGGAAGTTTATGGCAACAACGGTGATCACGACTTTTTTCTTCACGAGCAATCTCTGTATTTCTACTCGACTATTGAGCACGATGGATGATGCACTTATTCCAACCAGCTTGGCCTCTAGATCACATCACTAAACAGTGATCTTACCTGTCAGCCTCACATCCCTGGAACTCGATCCTACAAAGATCTTGTACTCTCCAGTCGCAACGCTCCACTTCCTGGTCTTCTCATCCCAGAAGCTCATATCCCTTCTCCTCAGCTTGAAGGTAGCAGTTCCGCTCGCACCAGCTGCCAGCTTGAGCTTCGCAAATCCTCTCAATTGCTTGGGAGGCGAATTGGTCGACGCAGGGTAGCCGAGATACAATTGCGGAACTTCTGCACCTGCAACACCACCAGAGTTGTTGATTTTGGCTGTGATGGTTGCGACCGTCTCGAAGAGATCGACAGGGCCTCCGGGACCCTTGGCACCGGTTGCGGGACCAGCCGAGGGCTTGCCTGAGACGCTGAGGTCGGAGTAGGTGAAGTTAGTGTAAGAGAGACCGAAGCCAAACTCGAATCTGGGTGTAATGTTTTGCTGGTCAAAACGACGGTAGTCGATGAAGAGGTCCCAGTTCTTGTCGTCGCCCCTGGCAATGGTGGTACCGTAGTCTGATTCCTTCTTCGCAATGGTGTAGGGGAGCTTGCCGCTTGGCGAGGCAGCGCCGTAGAGGATGTCCACGAGGCCGTTTCCGGATTCCTGACCTGGCAGGCCTGCCCATACAACGGCTACTACGTTCGGGTTTTCGATCTACGCACGTCAGTGGATGTCTCACATGCAGTTTGCGGGTTGGATTTCTTACCCATTGTTCCATGATGACGGGACCGACGCTGTGGACCACGACGACGGTCTTCTTGTTGACGGCAGCAACTGCCTTGACCAACTCGTTTCCGTTATGCCACGGGTCCAGGTTAGTTCGGTCGCCAGCGTTGCCCTCAACAGTGATGTAACCCTCGCCACCATCGCTGTTGATGCACACGACAGCTACATCAGCGTTTTGGGCTGCACTGGCTCCCTGTTGCGCATTGTCGTTTGGTGAAGAGGTGATGGTTGTGCCATCTTTTTGAGCTTGCGTCTTCATGGCATCGAGAGGAGCGATGAGGTAGGGGAACTCTACTGATCCAGATCCCCAACCCATAGCTAGCGTGCCGTCGTTGCATCCGCGATCAACGCATGCGTTAGCTCCCTTAGGCGCAACGATGCTGTCGCTCCCGATGACAGCGATGCTCTTGGGCTTCTTGAAGGGCAATGTAACGTTTGTGTTCTTCAACAAGACGATACCATCGCGGGCCGTAGCACGGACGTTCGTCTTGTGGTTGCCACCGACCTGACGAGTGCCGATGTTCCAGGAGCTAAAGGTGGCATTGGGATAGCCCTTGTCCTGACCAAGGAGGTACCAGGAAGAGAGTACGCGCTTGACCATGTCATCGAGGCGAGATTGTTGAACCTGCTTTTTGTCGATGGCGGACTGAAGCTGTGGGCCCCAGAAGACGTTGCCCCCACTGAAGTCGGTGCCGGGCATGGTCATGTCCATTCCACCGTTTGCACTGCCGGTCGTCGTGTGTTGAGCTAAATGAGGTCAGCTTGTGAAACATATTTGAAGAGTGTGCAGATGACCTACCATTCCAGTCACTCATGATGTATCCACGATGGCCAAGTTCGTCTTTCAGGAGCTTGTTCATCACACCATCGCTCTCGCAGGCCCAAGTTCCGTTGACCTTGTTGTAACTGCACATAAAGGCCGCGACGTTGCTGTGGACTGCATCCATGAATGGCCATACATAGAGCTCGCGAAGCACTCGATCCGACACGTCTGAGCTCATAGTCTCTCGGTTGAGCTCTTGTTCGTTGACAATCCAGTGCTTAGCTGTCGCTTGAACACCGGATTCTTGCATACCCTCAATGGTCTCTGCCATCATAATGCCTTGGAGGTAGGGATCGGAACCGAATCCTTCCCAGTTTCGGCCACCGTTGGCAAACTTTCCGAGAGGTCCAGCTGAAGGTCCGAGCTGGACGTGAACGCCCAGCTCCTTTGCTTCAGCACCAAGGAAGGCGCCGCGTTCACGAATGAGATCGAGATCCCAGGTGCTGGCGGCATGGATAGCTGCGCTGAATGCAGTTACACCTTGGATGTAGCGAACGCCGAGGGGTCCATCTTGAGGCTGTTAGTAAGAATCCTGTTTTGAATGTACGCATGCAGTGAGCAGGCGTTGAGAAGTGGGTTCGACGTGACCTGGCCACGCTTCAAGTTCCAAGCACCGAAGTCGCTGAACACAACATATTCGTAGGGTCACAGCATCTTGACTCCGATGCCACAAACCACGGGCCGGCTCGAAAGTAGTGAGACATATTTGCTTACCTTGCAGACAAAGCGACGGATATCCAATCGAGGCAGCCGGTTTGGTGTTGCCAACGCAGTTACCGTTCTGCCAGCCAACACCCGTAACGATGCCGATCTTCTCGCTCTGTGATAGTTTTGCAAGAGCAGCAGTCGCTTTCGCATGGGCATCGTCCCAGTTTCCGACGGCACGCTTCGAAGAAAGTAATTCAGACGGAATGGCTGCATATGTTAGTAGTGAACACGTAGTTGCATGTATCATAGATGTAGGTACCTGAAGCTTGCGACAAAGCAGCCGTAGCGAGCACAGGAAGAAGAAAAGAACGCATCGTGCTCGAGATCTCAACGGTCTAAAAGCTGTACAGGAAACCGTATGGATCGCAAACAATTACTCGGGCATGTCTCCTATTAAATACCCGCGGATCGTCCATGCTGCGCAACGCACAAGCCCGAGACTGTTGTTTTTCGTCAAAATTGGCCCTTGGCGAAATGCCAGCATCCAGCACGGTAACCCCAGACCCCAAGAAACTTACAAGCCGCATGACGTGTGATGTAGAGGGGTGATCGTTGAATTAGATGAGACGGTGAGAGGGAGTAAATGGAGGCGGGCCGTTGACCCAGGGTCTACAGCCGGTGACTAGGGTCAGCCGCGAATCAAACTTCGGAACACTGCATCACAAGCGGACGTTGCCCCGATAAACAATTACTGCACCCTTGACATTCGCAGTGGACGTTGTGGGGAACATGCGGCTCAGTCGTGTGATGGTTAATGAACTGCTTAGGTGAACTAGTCTGATCAAGTGATGGTCTCTGCTATTCGCTAACCCGAGGACCCTAGTAATACAGGACGCTACATCGCGCCCAAGGGCTTAGCACAAACTTACTGCAATAGGAGCGAAGTTTCTTAATTGCAGGCCTTCAAGGGTCAATTGCTTGAACGGCCTTGTACACTTAGCCTTTGCGCATTGTGGTGTGGAGCTTCCGTGCTTCCACCCGCCCTGCCTGTGCTGGCATTGCGGAAAAGTAGCGTATGCCTCAACGTACAACATGCTTTCCAGTCTAAATCTACTGTCAGCACTGCAAAAGTTGTATGCATGTCTCAGACACCTACATGACTACAAAGTTGGCATCATGTCAAGATATTCGCCTGTTGTAGCACTCTGCCTATCGTCACAAGGCCTGCGCATTTGTGCTAAGCCTGACGTTTGGCGGGTGCTGAGTCATTTGTCGCTTGAGTTGTAAGACTTTTACCAGACATAAAGATCCTCAGGAGTAGTCAGCGTATTCGCAGTCATCGTCCAGTCGTAAGCAGTATGCGCACGATGGCCTTTCTTCTGTACACTTCCGTCGTCTCTGCTTGTAATTAAGACAGCCGTTCTTTGAGCGCTTCTTGTTGTTCAACACTTCATACTGACAGGTCCATAGTCCTCTTCGGCACTGGTTGCACGTCGGTTTCGCCTCGTTGCATTTGATCTTCTTTCCGCGACAGCGGATGCAAGCCTTGCCAGGAGCAGGTAGCGACGGCGGTGATGGTTCACTGACAGGCGCCTTTTCCCTCGATTTGGTGGGTGATGCAGGCGATTTGGCATTCTTGCTCTTCTTGGTGGATGGTTTCCGCACTGTCCTAGGAGAGGCCACGGCACCACTTCCCTTGCGCCTCTTCTTCGTCGATGAACTTGGAGCTTCCGGAGACGTTGACATGTCCATATCTGGGTCCCCGAAGTCGTTGTCTGCTTCAACAACATTCTTTTTACTACGTTTTCTTTTGCGCGGTTCCTTTTCTTCCGTAGCAGCGGCAGTGGGAGCAACGCCGTTATCTGTGGCTAAGGCAGGTAGGCTATTAGAAGTTAGTTTGGATGTCGCTCAACCAGTGTCTTTTGCTGCCCCGACGTACCCGGCATCAATCTCGCGGGTGGTATGGATAGGATTATGCTTATACACGACATTTATGGCCTCTCTCTTGAGTGAGAATTTGATGTGTATTGCGCCTCCGCAGTCGTAGGTCGGCAGCACAGCCGGCCCCTGCTTGTTGACTCCAGCCTCGTCGTCGTCGCTATCGTGAGACCTTTCTTTCTTGAGGTTGCTTTTGCGGTTCTGGACGCTGTCTTGGCAAACATACTACTATCGTCAGCCACAACGAGGAACAGGTTATCAATTTGGCAGTGCCTTACCTTGAGCCTGGCACCATCACCGCCTTCTTTACTCTGCGCAGAGCGCTCGGAGTACTTGAAACCATCGGTGTCCTGAATGGCTTCGATGATGGATCTATCGTGCATAAGCGAACATAGTGCAGATATGTAGGCTCAAGTACCTCGCTATTGCTCGCTGCACCTTGAGCCTGTCTTTGCCATCAATATCACGACACAGCGCATACTCGGCAGCAATGCTCTGAAGGTGATCGGCTGGTTGTATGAGCGCGTCAAGGCTCGGCTGCTGCGTCACGGGAATGGTGATGGTTGAGGCTGTCGCAAAAATGAACTCGGTCACCACGTCTGTGGGAATGAAGCTGGCTGCGTTCTTGTCCAGCTCATTGCGCAGAGCTCCCTCCAGTGACTGTTACATGACAGTTTAGCTACATCGATACAGATTGCGAAGATGATATTACTTCGAGCGTAGGACAGCGGTAGTAGACATCGGGACTCAGCCCCTTGTGAAAACGAAGATCCAATTCGTCTTCGAGGTCATCCATGGCAGCACTGGCATAGGATAGATTGAGGCGCGACGGCTAAGTGATGTGCGGCGCCGCTCTCGTGCGTGATGCAACCGTGAGATGAGACGAATGGAGACAGATGGGGAGGGAGCGCCCTAGCTCCCGGGAGACGAGGTTGTTCCGTGCCGAGGCGAGATGCTGATTGGGCGAGCCGGGGTCTGCCAAGGTTGCCCTGCAGCATTCTAAGATTCGACTCAATCGGCAATGGGTCAAGCTGCACCTGGCTCGCATGTCGCGTGAATGAGCTGTCTGTGGGCGAGTACATAGGGGTTGCGCTTATGGCAATATACCAGCTTTGGCCGAAGCCAGCGGAGGTGTGTTGTAAAGAAGGGCTGTCGATCCTGGACGTGTTGTGTGCTACTACGGATGATTCATTACAGGCCGACTTCTTGCGCAAACACCGCCAGGCCATGCTATTAGAGGACGATCAGCCACGTTGTCCATGTGCACGGTTCGTTCCCAAATCTGGGGCTCACTGAGCTTGTCTGGGATCTCGCTGGGCCATAGGTAGCATGCGCGCTGGCATCAGAGGCAGCGTGTATTCACAGCCGTGTCTCGCTGCGTCTATCAAGCCAATGTCGGCCGCTGTTGGCGGTGGGGTCGTGTCTGCGGCGCTGCAGCAATGGGTCTGCCACGCGTTGGGTCAGTCCAAGGCGCCCCAGGTCTGGCCAGCAGAGGCCGCAAAATAGGGCTTGAAATTGTGCAGCCGTACATAATAAGCCGTCTCCGAGCTACGGGCGGGAGCCGATGCAAGGCTATGATAACAGCCCTAGGCCGCTTTCACTGATTGGCGTCTTCCAGCTCAAGGGATTCGGCTGCCGTAGCTAGAGCGCAACCTCACTCACGCCCTCCAAACGTCCCGTCGCCCTCTGTGAACTCGCCTCGTCGCTGGCTGCTGCTGCGCCTGTACTGTCCTTGTCCGGTCGCGAGCCTCGTCGCTAGCACTGCCTCAATCGCTCGCCGCATTGTCCGCCCACCGGCTCACCAGAACCTGGACCAAGTCTAACGGGTGGTGTTTCACGCTCCAACCCACGTAGCACCCGCCGCCGCCGCCGCCGTCTGCACGAGGACTCATAGGTACGCCTGCCCGAGTCTGCCATCACAGCCAGCGCCAGCAATTGTGAGACTGACCCGTCTGCCAGACGCTCCCCGCTCCCTGGAACCCCTCGTTTGAGCCCATAGCTCCCATCTCCGCACGACCACGACCCTGAGCCTGCGTAGCGACAGCTCCGCCCCATCTCCGCACGCCTATCTCGAATTTTGGTAGCCGACGTGCCTCCAAACAAACATCCATAGCCTCGAAACAAATCCCAGCCTGCCTTCACCATGGTGGTCGCGACAATCAAGTACGCGAAACCTAACATGCCCGGCGTGCGACCGCCGTGCTCCAGATGCTAGTGCTTACTACCCTACAGGTGCGTCGTCGTCGGCGACGGTGCGGTCGGAAAGACATGTCTTCTTATCAGTTATACCACGAACAAGTTCCCCTCGGAATATGTCCCTACAGTCTTCGACAACTACGCCGTGACCGTCATGTGAGCTTCCCTCTGCTCTTTGTACAATTTGGAGGAGCGGCAAACCCTCGGTGGATTTAGGTTTGGGACTGTGATTGGTAGAGCAGCTGCTGACTGCTTTGAAGGATCGGTGACGAGCCATACACCCTCGGTCTCTTCGATACTGCCGGACAGGAAGATTACGACCGTCTCCGGCCGCTGTCATACCCCCAAACCGACGTCTTCCTCGTCTGCTTCTCCGTGACTTCACCTGCTTCTTTTGAGAACGTCCGCGAGAAATGGTTCCCCGAAGTACATCACCACTGCCCGGGCGTGCCCTGCCTGATCGTCGGCACACAAGTAGATCTGAGGGAGGACGCTGCAGTAAAAGACAAGCTCTCAAAACAGAGAATGGCGCCTGTAAAGAAGGAGGACGGCGAGCGCATGGCGCGGGAGCTTGGTGCGGTCAAGTACGTCGAGTGTTCGGCGCTGACCCAATACAAGCTCAAGGACGTGTTTGACGAGGTAAGCATATTGTACAAGAATGGCTGATGTAAATGCTGACTTGTCCACAGGCGATCGTAGCAGCACTTGAGCCGCCAGCCGCGAAGAAAGAGGGCGGCGAGAGGAAGAAGGGCAAGAAGTGCATTGTCCTTTGAGATGCTTATGCGGCAACTACGAATAACCGCATGCTAGGGAGCGTTGGTTTGCAGATATTCTTTGATTAGGCGTGAATCTTTTGGATACCTCTCGAATACAGGCGCCATTGTGGGTAGTGTTCTCTTTCAATCTGCTCAGTTTCGTTCTATGCGTTTTACTCCATCCCCCGTCAATTGCACGTTACGTTCGAGATGCAACACGCAGACATGTCTTGATGCTTGGAAAGGCAGGTAAAATGCGAATTAGGGGCTGTCCACTGCGCGCCTAGTGTAACCACTGCGTTACAGCGGATGCCATCTCTTGCTTGATCTCCTCTTGCAAGTCTGCTTCCCCACGTGGGCTACCCCTCTTTTCAGATGAGGTGAACGAGGAGCGCGTTTGCTGTCGTCACTGTTGTTGATGATGTTGTTGCCTTGCCGTTACGTCTTGCTCAACAACGCGATCTCTGTCGTGGACGAATCTCTAC